TGTGTGTGTTGTGTGTGTTGAGACGCGTCCGCTGCAGGAGTCGAGGGAAGGCCGCCATCTTTGTCGAGGTTTCTGTGGAGTCGAGTGTTTCCTCCAGTCTAAAGATTGAGAATCAGCTCAGAAGCACTTTTCAGATGAATCCGGAGCTTGACCTTTGGCCTCCTGAGGTCAAAGGCCGTCCACTGCTGACCTGAGCTGGGCTTGCTGGCGTCGTGCTTCGCTCGCAGGCCGCGGCCGTCTGCCTTTCTTTCGCTCCAGATCGAATATTTCAAGCGATTCAGAATTAATTATTACTCAATTATTTTTTTAAATGTGATTATATGGAATCAAAGAACAAACAGTAGTTATAAAGATCAAATTACAGTCAGCATCGATATGAAAATGACGAACTGTCACGTTTTGTTTTTAATAATAATACTAATAATAAAGTTACACTGATGTTTTTAAAAAGTCTCACCGAAATGTATTTCAATATTTTTGTCTTGTATTAATCTGACATGTCTGATATAGTGTTGTGTTATTGTTTGGCTCGTGTTATTCGCTTTGTTCTCTCTCGTTGCTGCGTAAAAAAAAAAGTTGAATTATTCCCCACATTTTATGTTTATCTGATGTCAATTAAACAATACATCAACAGTGCAAAACGTTTTAAAATACATATTTTTGTACATTTTGCATTCAGTTAATTTTAATTCTTAATTTTTACAGAACAATGAAATATTTCTCCAGGAAACATTTAATCTAGAACATGAGTGAAAATATCTCCACAATTTTTTTATTTGATTGTATACATTTTATAAGCACTAATAATATTACAAAGATTCCGAAGGCTTGATTGAATCTAAAGCTGCTGTGAAACACGGATTGTGAAAAGCGGCGTACAAATAAAAATGATTTGGCAAAGGCATAAACTGTGCAACAATGTCGATGAACTTCAATTAAATGAAAGGTTTCACCATAAACAGATTTAGCTGATTTGAGTGTTTATCGTTTATTAGAAATGCTGAAACATCAGAACAAACTTCTGCTTCTCCAAACATCATGAGTTTTGATTTGAGAGCTGAATGTAAAATAAACCCTAAAAACCAGCTTCTGTTTTATAAAGCAGCTTTGCAGTCATTTTCAAATGCAGTTGAACAAACTTTTATTTAGTGTTAAATGTTAAAGTGTCTTTGGAGCTGGAGGTTTGATGGGGTTTCATCAGGTCGAGCAGAAGCGGAGTGTTGTGTGATTCTGAGCTGATTCAGTGCTGATTCAGTGTTGATTCTGAGCTGATTCAGTGTTGGGTTTCTGGATTCACTCTTTCCACCGACACACTCCAGTCGTGTCTTGATATTATTGTGAGATGAACTTCCTCAGCCATTCATGATTTTCCACAAACACAGATGAAAGATGAAACACACACACACACACACACACACACACACTCTGTTTAGAGTTTTATTCTACAAATAGCTGATGAATTTAATTCTACAGTCTATCTGATGCTTTTAGAACACAAGATGCATGTTTCAGATTTTTATTTTTAGTATTGGGAAATCATTTTAAATTCAAACATACATATAAGTATATATACATATATATATATATATGAAGAGTTCATTTGCAAAAACAGATAACTCTTTTCAAAATTGTTTCAAAAATCATGTTTTTTCATTGTGCGTTCCAATTAATCTCAATCAAACTGCAGTCGTGTTATTTTGATTGGGTTACAAAATAACTTAAAAATACAGTTAACTAACACAATAAAACACAATAAAAACATGATTTCTGAACATTTTGAATAATGGAGTTATCTGTTTTTGCAAATAAACTTTTCATATATATATATATATTATTGCCATAACATTGGATTTAGATATTACAGACCATCAGATCTCTTAAATGGTAATTTCCGCGTCAATGTTCAGCTCAAGAATCTTCATTTCTGCTTCATTGCACTTAATTCTGTGTGTGTTCAGAGACGTCTCAGTTTGTGCTGAAGGCTGTTTTTGATCCGATGCTGCTGATGCTGTGGAAAGTCTTCATTCAGTGGGCGAAAGCAGCTTCGTTTACAGTCAGAGTCCCTCTCAGTAGATCAGTGAATCGAATGATGAGACACGGTGGAAAATACAGGCTGAAAACATCATTTCAAGGAACACGCTGTAGAATTCACATCAATCACATGAGATTCTGTGAACTCAAATATGTCACACCTGACAGATGCTGATTAGCGTATAACCAGCGCTCCACATTCACACAAACACATCATAGCAAGCTTTTATTCACATTAGAGAGAACACTACTCTTCAGACCTTTAGAGAGTTCTGAAAGATTCAAGCTTTTGAGTAAAAACAGCAATAATGTGAAATATTATTAGAAATTAAAACAGCAGTTTTCTATGTGAATCTCTGTTAAACTCTAATGTATTTCTGTGATGCGCAGCTGTATTTTCAGCATCATTACTCCAGTCTTCAGTGTCACATGATCTTCAGAAATCATTCTAATATGCTGATTTGCTGCTCAACAAACATTTCTGATTATTATCAATGTTGAAAACAGTTGTGCTGCACAATATTTTTGTGGAAACTGATACATTTTATTTTTCAGGATTCACAGATGAATAGAAATTTCAGAAGAACAGCATTTACTTGAAATGGAACTCTTTTGTAACATTATAAATGTCCTAACTGTTACTTTTGATCACTTTAATGTGTCACTCACTGATGAATAAAAGCATGAATTTCTTTCAAAAAAAAATCTAACTGACGCCAAAGTTTTAAACATTGGTGTGTATATGTATATATTTTTATTAAGAAATCCATTTTTAAGACATCTCTATAAATAAACAATCACATTCTGTTTTCTAGTTTTTACACAAATTGTAAGTGTTCGAGTCGCTGGTTTGATTTTATTAATAAAAATGATCAAACTATATTTTTCTTTGCGTTGATCAAACCCTCAGCACACCGAACGATCGCTTCATTCACACGAAATCTGTTACTCATATTTATTTTAATCTAACATCATATTTAATGTGTGTATTTACATTTTATTGCAGTAATGTAGCGAAAGAACAGACGTTTGTTTATTTGACCCGTTTAGACACTCATTTCAGATGAACGTAAAACAGAAGAACACGTATATAATATTTAGTTTGTCTAACGTTAAATCATGTGTTTCTGCTGCATCTGTACTCAAGTATACTCAAGTCAAAGTATGGATACTGTACGATGTTAAAAGTATCTGAGCAAAAGTAAAAAAGAGCAACTTTAAATTATACTGAAGTATTATAAAGCAGAAGTAACCAGAATGAAAACTGTTGAATCAAACCTCAATGAGCATCTGCAATGAATTTATTATGCTCATTTAAACAAAGCGGTTTATTACAGTTAATTAAAAATGTGATGATGTGATAATTTAACGGTCAGTTCTCACTGAAGAGAAGAATACTGTTAAATGTAATACTGGATATTACTGTATTTTGGAAGTGGAAATTAACAGTCCTTGTGTAATTAACAGTGAAAAATCCCAGAATCCTCTGTGTAGCACGTCACATTTGATGCTTGTTTGTTGAAATCTGTTTCTTCTCATCAGTTGTGTACATTAGGGCTTTATTGTCTTTCGTCTGATGTTGTTAAATGTGTGTATTTTGGTGTCATGCATGTCGTTTAGTGTTTATCAGTATATCAGTATTTTCCTCCTCGGCTTCTGCAAGAGCTGTCAGTGTATTACAAAGCTACAAAACAGATATTAGTGCTTTAATAGGTTGCTTTATTAACAAGTTAACAAAATGCATTTTTACTGTAAATTTGAGCTAAATCTGTAAAACTACATTTTGCTACCACAGTAAAGTTCTGGCACCCACAGTTCTGTTTTTTACTGTATATTTCGCAGATTTTGTTTTATGTAGTATATTAAATAAGGGATAATATTGTGACGAGCGATGTAGTGGACAGATGCGTCTCGATGTTGCATCAAAAGCCGTACAACTCGAAAGGTTTATGTGTGCTATTTTTACAAACCTGTTTCCTCGTGGATTCTTTGAATTGTATTTTTAGCGTACTGTCACTGTTGCTTACAGTTGCACTCTTTTGATCAAATAACCCAAAGAACTATTAGATCGTAATCATCACGCCTCGAAAAACTGCCAAAGCCAAACAAGCACTTCAAAATAAAATTGTGCGCTGC